AGTTCCTCTGAACCTTAGTATCCCCACCGGGGCTACATCGGAGCCCCTGCTCTCTGGGCAACGCCCCAGGGATCCCAGGAGATCCGGAGTAGCCCCTCGGCAGTCACCAAGGCCCCGCTGACCTTCGCGTCACAGCTGTGACTGTCACAGCAAAGAGCCCATCTGGTCTTCCTAGTTGAAACCTCACCCCCAGTATGATGACATCAGGAGGTAGGGCCTTTGGGAGGTGATGAGCTCGTGAGGGTGGAGCCTCATGAGTGGAATCAGAGCCCTCAGAGAAAAGACACCCGCCCCCCGGCCCGGCAGAGAGCTCCCGCAGCCTTCCACACGTGAGGACACGGGGAGAGAAGACAGCCCTCACCAGAACGTGGCCATGCTGGGGCCGTGATCTTGGACTTCCCGGTTTCCAGAACTGTGAGAAACAGAGGTCTGTTGTTTACACGGCACCCATCCTGTGGTATTTTGTTCCAGCAGCCTGAATGGACTGCGGCAGGGCCCATTCTGCAGATGGGGAAACTGAGTCTCAGAGAGGTCAAGGGTTAGACGAGATCTCCCAATTTCTTGAGAGAAGCCAGAAACCTGGATGGTGATACTGACACCTCCCACTTTTTAAATGCTGGCAACTAACGAGGAGTCTGCAGCCAGACACGGCCCAAGGGCCACAGAAGTGGCCCTGCGCTGCATTTCCACGCAGGCGCAGCTACCCAAAACGCCAGGCCCTCCCTGCAGACACACCCCAGGGCTCCGACCGACCGAGGCGGATGACTTTAGAGTAGCCAACATTTCCCAGAACAATTTTCTCAAAAAAGAACCAGCGCTACCTTCAACTTGGGACAAATCCCTGAATCCCCTGGGCCCAAGTTGGGCTCAAAATCCAACTAACCACCCAGAAACCTTGGAGCCACGAGCACGCAGAAGACGACGGTTAAGAGCACGGACTCTGAACCAGGCATGCTGTGGGTTCACATCCGTGTGTGTGACCTCGCATGAGCCGCGGCCTCGGCTTCCTCATCTGTAACATGGGCCAAATACAGTCCTTACCCCATGGGGCTGCTGAGGATTCAGTGAGGCCAAGCCTGTGAGGGGCTCTGAACACAGACAGCTGGAGAGCAGGGTTAGCTGAGCCAGTTTCAGGCTCCGGTTCACCAAAATGGAAGATCCAGGGGAGGAGACCAAATGCAAAGGAGGGGGAGTCTGTCTGCCAGAGTCTCAGCCTTGAACAGAAGCATCTAATCCCTCGAGGGCACCGAACTGAAAGGATTCCCAGCTGCCTGCAGAGCTGAGTCCACTCTGGATGATCCCTTCGGCTCCCAACCTTACTTCCCGCCCACGGATGCATTTGTTGCAGAACAGCCGTCCAGGCCCCCGGCCAAGGCTGGCAGTGGGCGGGACGCGATAGTCCCCAGTCCCCCACCCCCCCAGCGTGGACCGCGGCAGCCGGTCCATACCACCCTGAGCGAGGTCATGCAGTGGAACCCAGCCGTGTCAGCCGCAGACCAGCCCCTGGGCTAGAACCTGACACAGTGTGACCTCCAGGAGACACTCGGCATCTCTGGGTCTCTGTACCCTCGCCCGGAAACCGTGGATGGGGAGAGCGCCCACCCGCCGGCGAGGCGGGTCTCCGCTGTGTTCGCCCGAGGCAAGCCCGGGGCGGCCTGGTGGGCGCCTCCGTCACCCCATCCCCGTCCGCACCACCGTGATGACTGCTGTCATTCTCATGACCTTGGGCTCCGTAAACGAAGCCCCAGTCCCTCAAAGGACCATCCAGTAGAGCCCTCACCAGAAAGACACTCCCCTGTGCACGGTGAGAAACACCTGGTTGAAGTTTTTTCCAAAGAGCAGTTGTGTGACCCGGGTGCCTGATCTGACACCAATGCACCGTCAAGTGACCCTGAGCAAGTCACTCCCCGCGTCCGAGTCTCCTCTTTCCTATCTGCACGGGGGGGTGGGGTGGGGGGGGGGCTGGGCTCTGAGACGGCATCTTGCTCTGCAAGGCCACTCACCCCAAGAAAGAGCTGGGGGTGCTACGCGCACCCCATCTCCCCACGGTGACGGGCTGCGTGCACTCGCTCAACCCCAGAGCCACAAAGGGAAGTGTCTACTCTCTGTGCCCATTCAGTGTTAGACCCGGAGAGAAGAAAGGAGCCACCCAGCCGCGTACAACCAGGGGACTCATCCGGGAACAAGGCCCAGGGACCACCCTCCTGGGCTTGACAGCAACAAGCAAGGGGTTTCTTTTGCTCTCTTGGGTCACGGCCACCACCATGCTCATTGCTGGCTCCCAGCGCCACAGCTCATGCAGAAGCCTTGCGCGTCCCAAGTTCCCTGCATCCGGTAGGGGAGGGGGGCACTGAAATGATTTACTCTGGGAACCTCCACTGTGCCGCCATTAAATCACTCAGGGGAGGTGACAGCATTTGCATAGCCCTCCCCAGCACCTCCCGACGACACTTCTCGGAAGAGCAACACCACACACAGGCAACCCCCCCCCTCCCAAATCACTACTGTCACAAGAAAGAAATATACCCCGTGCCATGCCAAGGTGCCAGGCAGGGCGAAGAGTATCTCGGCTTTGAAGCCAAAGCCACCCCCCCACACACACACTAGCACGCTCTGCCGCTCACAAGCCCCCTAGTCAGGGGGCTCTCCACCCACCCCAATTTTATAGACCCTGAACACAATGGGTCAATGAAGCAAGGCGCGTCCATTTTCCCCAGCAGGGACCGTCAGAGCGCCGCTAATTTGCAAAGCCGTAGCTCGCACAAAAGTGGCTTGAATAATGGGGGCCCCCCAGTCGCTAAGCTGGGGGATTTGTGCTGACTCTTAGCGAGTACCGTTCCATATGTTTAAGCGCTTACAAGGCTAAGAGTACGCCCACCTCGCTCTTTACCATGGCAGCTGCCCACGCGGGGGGGGGGGGGCACAGAGCAGACAGTCCCCGCGAGCGCCCGGGGAGAGGGCATCCTTCCTTCCCTGAACACCCTTCCAGCCCCTCTCCCCAACCTCGGCCAGACGTGGTCGCTAAACCATGCCAGAAATTATCCAGAAGATCCAGCCGGCTCTGAAGGAAGCCCTAGCTAATTCCTCCGAACCTTTCAACCAACAGTAGGCAGCTAAGTATCGTTCAAGAATCGCAGCCTTGTTTTTTTCCTAGCTCTTCTAACTGGTGCTAAATATAGAGTTATCAAACTGTCTCTCTTTACGGCCCTGGTAGGGACCGGTGAAAGACTTACATGTGCGCCCAAGAACCTGCCCATGGCTTGGGGGGGGGGGTCTGCCCTCACGGCCCCTGCGGAACGAGCTCCCCAGCTGAGACTCGGGGAGCCGCAGGGCACCAGGGCTAGGGCCCGGCAGCAGGAAGCGGCACACCTTCCGTGCCAGAACCGGCCTCCTCCCAGAGCCAGGCACAAGCTCTGCCGTTGCTAGGGGACGGGGCCGGGGGCGGGTGGGGGTGTTCTCCATGTTCTCCTACAGGCGTTAGGCAGGCAGCTTCTGGGAGGGACTTCCAATATCGGCTTCCGAGCACATCCAGGCAAAGGCTGACCCCCGTGGAGAAACAAAATAGAGACAGAACTGCAATGTTCAAGTCCAAGGGACTGCACTTTTGGGAACAGGTCCCAGGGAGGGCTTTGGCTAAGAGGAAACGGCCGTGACCCCAGCAACAGCCCCCCTTACGGAGCGCAGAAGGACGCGGGGAGGAAGAAGCAGGGTGGCCGCGTATCACCCAGCTGATTGGAGATCCATCCACACGTTAAGCCGGAGCTGAACGCCGATGGAGAGCTCTGACAAGGTTGTTTTCTGAGCAGAAGGTTTTATGAAATATTTTGGGTCACTTCAGGGCATCTCAAAGGAAGACAGTGTTTACTTTTGCCATGCAAATACATCACCCGTTAAGTTGGCACAAGCTCTGTTCCTAAATGCAACCTCCCCAAGGTGGTTACAGCTGAAAAGTTAAAGTTCTATTTTTCTACTGCATCCTGGGTGTCTGTGCGGTTTGTTTGTTAAGAAAAGGAGGAGAATTTTTTTTCTAAAGAGAACGCTCTCGGCTCCCAAACCATGGGTCTTGATTTTGAAAGGGTTGGAGAACCGAGCTCCCCAAATGAACACGGATGTTGCTCGTCATGGTTCCGGCGTTCATCGGAGCCTTTAGGATGGTCTCCACCGCTTGGGGTGGGGGGAGGGGAGGGGAGGGATTGGCATTTTAGGACAGGCTTCCTCTAGAACCAACATGTAGGCACGCCAAGGTGGTAGCAGCTTTCCAAACTCCAGCAGAGAGAGAAAATACATGACTATGTTGCCTTTCCCACTCACTAGGTCTTGGCGACAGCTGCGCCGGTGCCAGCAGGGAGCCCGGCTCCACGGTACCCAGGCAATGGCTCTGGGCATCACCGCGTTCCAGGCGGCCCTGCGCGCGCGCCGGGCCGCCGGGCCGCCTTGGGGTCAGGGCGCTGGGGCAGCACGCGTCTCCAGAAAGCCGGCAGCAGGCTGCGCCCGGGCTAAGGGGAGGCCACGCGGGGAGGGGACGTGCTCGGGGAAGGGGGGCGTAAAAGCAGAGGGTGCGGCGGCGAGCGGGAGAGGCTGCGGACAAGCCAGACAGGCTGCGCCGACCGAGACGACCTCGAGGCCGGGGCCCCGCAGGTGTCCTGGGAACGCACGGCCGCGCGTCGTCCGCGGGCATCAGGACGCGGGGAGGAGGGGGCCGCCGCCGCCCCGGCACAGCGAAACCCCGCGGGTACCGGGACGGCGCGGAGAGGGGGCTAGATTCCTGGAGGCGCGCCCCCACCCGCCTCGAGACGCTGTTGCCCCCGCGCGCCCTGAAGGGCTCCGCAGGGGAGCTGGGGTCTGGGGAGCTCGCGCCGGGCGGAGAGGTTAGTGCTGAGGACCCCCGGCTCCGGGAGATGCGCCCTGCCGGGGACTTGCGAAGGAGGTGGCCGCCCCGCGCGGGAGCCAACTTTGTGCGCCGCGGCCGGGGTCGGGGATGGGGTCCGGGGACGCGTTACCTGGGCACCGGAGCGCAGTCAGCGCCAGCAGCAGCCCGAGCGGCGGCGCCCGGCCCGGGGGCGGCATGGTCCTCGGCGCGCGGTGGGCGCGGCGCGGGGCTGCTCCTGTCGCGCGCCCTGCCCGGCCCGCGGCTCCCGGGGGGGGAGGGGAGGGGGCAGGGGGGCAGCCCCCGGCGGCTACGCTCGGGCGCGGGGCATGGCTCGCCCCCCGGGGCGCCGCTCTTCCCCAGACGCAGGCAGCCGGCGCTGGCGGCGCTCTCCTCCGCTCGCCCCTGCGCGCTCTCCGGGGCTCGGCCGTGCGCGGCCCGGGAGCCGGAAGGCCGCGGGGGGCTCAGCGCCCCGCGCCCGCGCCGGCGGCCCCGCACTTGGCCCGAGTTGCGCGGGCCCCGCCGCCGCCGCGGCTCCTGCGCCCCAGCGCCCGTCCCATCGCCGTGGCGCCGCCGCCGCCGCCGCCGCCTCTGCCCGCGCCAGCTGCCGGCCGCCCCTCGGCCCGCGAGAGAGTGAGCGAGCGGCGAGCGCCGGGCGGAGGGCGGGGCGGCGGCGGCGGGCGGGGCCAGGGCGGGGGCGGGGCCGGGAGGGGGCGGGGCCGGGAGGGGGCGGGCCCGCCGCGGAGACGGGGCCCCGCGCGGCCGCCCAGCCATAGGCGGCGGGACGTGCCACTCCCGGGCGTCCCTGGGGGCGGGCGCCGGCGGCTCCGGCCCGGAGAGCCCCGCGGGGGCGGTCGGGGGCGGGCGCGCGGACCGGGCCGCGGGAGGGGGCGCCTGCCCGCCGACAGCCGACAGATGGGGCGGATTCGGGCCAAGTGGCGGGAGTTCCCAAGGTCGCGGGGGCGTGGGGGGGGAGGTCCTCGGATGGGGCAGCGACCTCCCGGAGGTGGGGGGAGGGGTGCCCGCGGGGGACAGGGACTGCGAGGCTGGGCGGGATGAGAGGTCCTGGGATTCATGTAGCACAGCTTGGGTGCCTGGAGGGGAGGGGAGGGCGGGGGTCGCCCCGGGGCGTCGGCGGCTACCTGAGGAGTTTCCAGCCAGCAGGAGAGCAGGGACCGGGGTGCCCTGGCTGGGCGCGGTCCACGTCCTGAAAGGCTTGTAGGGCAAGGACCCTCGGGGGCCCTTATTTACCTGAGCGAGAGGATGCCCTGGAGGCGGAGGGGGGCGCGGGGCGAGCTCGGGGGCAGGGTCACAGCCGCGGCCGGAGGGTGCATTGGAGGCGGGGACGGGGACTGGGTGGTCAGATTCTTCCAGTCTGGGGAAAAGGCCTCGTTGGGGGCGCACAGTACCTATTATGCCCCTGGGCACCCTTCACCCCGACCCGGGCCGGGCAGCGGGGACTCAGCAAATTGAATGCATCAAGCTGGGCGCACGTGGGGGCTCTAGCAGTCCTCAGATGCCTGGAAACTTGCCCTACACAGCTGGAGGGGGGGGCGGGGAGGCATCCGAGGAGGGAGCCCTTGCTAAGTCCCAGCTCCCATGTACCAGCCACTGGCTCCAGCATCTAGGCTTTCCATTAAGAAGTGGGTCAAACTATTGAGAAACGTCAATAAGGCAGCAGTGGGGTGAGCAAATGGAGGCCCAGAGTCTTGGCTGAGAACCCGGCCTGGCCGCTCTGCCATTATGCTACCCGGGCGCAGCCATTTAGGCTCCACAGCCTCAGTTTCCCCGTCTGACAAATGGAAGCCAATGCACCATCCCCTTGGTGTCCCATATGAGGCGTAGAAAGCCCCTGACCTGTGAAGTAAGAGCTCATTTAAAGAGATCCACTGTTGACATTTTCATTCTCCTCATTATGGTCATTATTATCATGTATCTGATTTTCCTCTGTGGGCCCTGAGCTCACATCTGAAGAACAATCCTCCCCCTCCCAGCTGGTGAGGGGGGACGGGGTGGGGGGGGAACCGGGCACCTGCTTCATTAGTACAGACAAGCTCATTAGCAGAGGCAGCGCTCAGCTCTTCTTAGATAAAAGAAGGGAGAAAGAGCCAGGGGCAGGTGACCAGTCTCTAGGCCAGGTTAATTGTGAGACAGAAGGGGAATTTCCCGTCGCAACTAACAGGCTTCCTTTTCAAGGAACCCATGTGCTGGCCAAGCCCCCTGTGGGCTCCCTGGCAAGGCCTGCGATCCAAACATGGAGAACCAAATACCCGGCTGGACAAGGGGTGATCTCCTTGGGTCTGGGGCGGCCGTTGGGAAGGGCCCATCTGTCCCCCGGCCTGTGACTGCCCCCCTCCACTGGGAGCACGATCCCGCAGATGCTGTCAGCATAGCCTGAGACCCTCCGAGCCCAGATGCCGCCTCAATGTCTTCTCTTGCCCACTCACTCATTTATAAGTGTTTGCAGAGCTGAGCACCTACTGTGTGCCAGGCCTTGAGGGGCTGGGGGGAGGGGAGGGAGATGGGGAAACAAAAAATGAATGGAATGCAGGTCCTGCCCCTCCCCCAATTCTCTATCTCAAAAGGAGGAAACAGCTGATCTCTGGGGAGCTCAGAGCAGGAAGATCTGGGGTGTTCTAGGCAAGGCGCCCACGTGTTTGACCGAACTACTGGTCTGTGAGGGCTGGGGGGCGCCTGTGACCAAAGTAACAAGTCCTTTTCTGGCCAGGATGCACGGGGAGGGGGTGAATAGGCCTGGTGAGTCCCTCACCTCCTCAGAGAGGCCTTCCCAGACCAGACCAGCCATCTGAAACAGACCCCCTCCCGGAGAGCCTGGCTGGCTCAGTTGGAAAAGCATGAGACTCTAGATCTTGGACTCCTGAGTTTGAGCCCCATGTTGGGTGTAGAGATTACTTTAAAAATTAAATTAGAAAACTCCTTTAAATAATTAGGGGCGCCTGGGTGGTTCAGTCGGTTAAGCGTCTGACTTCGGCTCAGGTCATGATCTCATGGTTCGTGAGTTTAAGCCCCGTGTCGGGCTCTGTGCTGATGGCTCAGAGTCTGGAGCTGCTTCAGATTCTGTGTCTCCGTCCTCTCTGACCCTCCCCTGCTCACTTTGTCTCTCTCTCTCTCTCAGAAATAAATAAAACATTTTTTTAAAAAAGAAAATTTCTTTATAATTAAAAATTATTCAAAAATGCAATGGACCCCTCCCTAGCCCTCCACCCCTGTTCATAGAATTGTTCTAAGTACTGCTGTTTCAGAGCTGAAACAGACAGACACGATTCTGTCTCCCACCCCACCCCGCCCCGGGGCTGATCGCTGCTAACGAAGGTGGGGAACGATCTGGGTTTTGAGGGTGGCTTTTCCACGCGGCTGTGAGACTTTGGACAAGCCCCTAAGTCCCTCTGAGCTCGTGTGACACGAGAACTCCAGCCCTGGCGCAGCCCCAGCCGGGTAAGGATTCCCTCATATTAACCAGGCCCCAGGGTCCGTATTATAATGGGTGTACTTCCAGCGTTATTCTGGGCAGGAAAAGGGACTTCCTAAAGGGGTCAGAGAAGGTAGGAGGGACCGGCAGCAGTGACTCAGGAGACCACCTGCCCCCCCAGCCGGGCAGAGCCCTCCTCTCAAGCCGACCCCACACCCCCACTCAGCAAACCTAGAATCTCACTCCCTAGTCAGCTGGCCTTTAGCCTGAGACAAGATCATAAGAATTTCGCAAGCCCGAACTCTCCCCGTGTGCAGATGGGGAAACTGAGGCCAGTCCAACCAAGAGCGAGCCCCAGTCCCTCTGCTCCGAGTTAGGTTCCCGCGGTTCCCTCACCCCCTACCCGCCAGGCAGGTGCCCCAACGCGGGCCTTGCGACGCCCTTCCCCGCCCCCAGCTCTGCTAAGCGCAGCCCACGCGCTCGCCCGGCCACAAGCGTAGAGCGCCACTGCCACCTCGTGGCTGTCGCTGGCACTGCGGGCCTAGCCTGAACCGCAGAGGGAAGGGGAGAAGAGGGGCCCCGGACAGAGATTTCCCCCACCCCCGCCCCGGCTTTGGAACACCCCTGTATCCTTTGCACCGCCAACGTTTCCAGCACACGTGCGGCGACCCCTGTCGTGACCCATCTGCTAAGATGCTCTTTGCCAAGGCCGACTGTCCTTTTCCAGTGCAAATGCTCGTGTTGAGCTGGGATGGTCCGGGGAACAGCATCCTGTTTCCGCCACCGGTGAATGGTGGGTGAGGAGGGCTTCTCAAAATATCAGGTGGGCTCCTTGAGTATGAAGTCAAGAAGGGTACACTTGCTAGCACACCTGCATATATGGGCAAGTGATGGAAGGCAGGGGCCCTTCCTGGGGACCCCCACAATGCAAGTACCCCCTAACCTCTCTGTCCCATTTCCGTATTTTCTGCATAGCAGCTGTTACTCCTTGGCATCATGCATCCAGGAAGAGACACATCATTAGTGCTGGCCTCCCGCACTGGGAGGTCAGGCCCTGTCTTGTTCACCAAATAGCCAGTGACAGGAACGGGGCTGGGTGCAAGGGGAACATCCAGTGAATGGTGGTGAAGTGAGTGAGTGAAGGAAAGGGCACTTGATTAAGAGCTGAGCCCTCAGGAGGTGAAGAGAAGCCCTGAAAAGCCTGGGAAAATTGGGGATGGAAGGGGCCAGAGTCCACTTTCAGACAGAGCCCCAACGGGTGGGGGACCCCAGGGATGAATGGCCTCCAGGTGTGGCTCAGCAGAAAACACCCTAACGCACCCACCCCCACCCCGGTGCCGCCCTCCCCCAGCCCCCAGCAGCTTCCCAGAGTGGCCTGGGAGTCCCAGAATGGTCCCTGGGGACCCAGGATCCGCCAGGGGTGGGGGTGGGGACAGGGGTATGCAAAGCCACCAGCAGGGGATTTTTGGAACAAGTTTTCACTGCTCTGGGGCAGAACACTTAACACACACCAGGCAGGCACTGCTCTGAGGCTTTACACCGTTTGCTTTATTTAATTATTTGTTTGTTTATATCTATTGTAGTAAAATACACGTTTTCTACTTTGTATTTGTCATAAAATACACATACACAAAATTCACCCTTTCAACCATTCCAAAACGTACAGCTCAGTGGCATTTCGTACATTCGCGGTGCTGGGCACCCATCACCAATACCCAGCGCCAGAGCCTTCTCATCACCCCAAAGAGAAACCCTGTCCCCAGCGACACCCCCGCCCCCAGCCCCCGGCGAGCACCCAACTACGCTGTCTTTATGGCTTTGCCGACTCTGGACATGTCGTCCAAACGGGGCCTTACGACGTTTGTCTCTTGCGCCTGGCTTCCGCCCTCGACGCGACGTCTGCCAGGTCCATCCCCGGCCGTGGTAGGAATCGGCCCCTCGTTGCCTGTTTCTCACTGGCGAGCGCCCCACTGTGTGGTGTGACACAGGCTGCGTGTGCTGTCGTCCACCGTGGGGCACTCGG